ACAGCAGAACCAAAGGCTCAAAAGTTGTACTTGTACAGTATGGAGGTTAAAACATCAAAAGATGTTGAAAAAAGTCATTGCAAGGATGGAACAAACACAAAAATTTATTCTTTTAATAACATCATTAAAGTCAAACAAATTCAAGACTTTAAAGAAAAAGGAAAATCTCAGTAAATCTTGAAAGGCAAAAAAAATATATAGATTTCCATGGGAAAGACAATAAAAAAAGAAAAAAAAAAAAGTTTCACGGCCTGTGTCATCAGGTAAGCAGAGTTTTCCAGCGTCATATTCCATTATCTCAGGAATCCCTCTGCACGGGCGTTGAAGCTATCGGCCCTTGTGTTTCGAAAGCTTGAATGGTCCCTGCAATGTAGGGGCTTGTGAAAAACATAGGTTATACAAGAGATGAATGGCTAAGGTCTACTTCTTTTTTTTTCTTTTTTAGTGAAAATGGCAATGTATGTTCGGACAAGAAAAGAAAATATATATGCAAAATGTATCATATATAACTACTTACTTTTTTTTTTCTTTTTACTCATGGAACTTTTATACATTTCATGCAGTGTGTAGATATATATATTTGTGTGTGTGTGTGTGTGTGTGTGTGTGTGTGTGTGTGTGTGTGTGTGTGTGTGTGTGTGTGTGTGTGTGTGTGCTGTGTGCGTGTGCGTGTGCGTGTGCGTGTGCGTGTGCGTGTGCGTGTGCGTGTGCGTGTGCGTGTGCGTGTGCGTGTGCGTGTGCGTGTGCGTGTGCGTGGGCGTGTGCGTGAGTGTGGCGTGTGCATGTGCGTGTGGCGTGTGTGTGAGGGTGTGTGTGTGTATTACATATGCTACATATGTATATTACATACATTATATATATACATATTATATATATAATATATATATGTAATATATATAAATATATATGCATAATATATATAAGTATATAAATGTATATAAATATATATATATATATATATATATATATATATATATATATATATATATATATATATATATATATATATATATATATATATATATATATATATATCATACATAGAGAAACATTTATTGATTTACTGATTGATTGATTTATTTACTTATGTATTTAGTGATTCATTCCTTATTTCATCTATTTATTCATATCCTTAATTAATGATTCCCTCATTTATTTAGCTTGACTATTTATCAATGCTCTTTCATATTTAATAAATGTGCCCCTCAAATGTATTCATAAAAGATACCTTTAAACGTTCCATACATAGCCTTCTCTTCTTTTGTCTTATGTTATTCTCAAATCTGCTGGTTATCTATATCACATATGCATAAAATATTGTTTCTGTATTATCATATTCGTTCATACCAGCCATATAATTCTTCAAATATAACTTTTGCTAACTGAAATAATAAACAAATCTTTGGGAGTGTATTGCTTGCCATAATAAATAGTTAGTTTTCCTTTATTTTTTCATCATAAATTTTTTTTTCTTGGCATTTGTCTTTATAAAATAATCCTAAGTTATAACAGCCTGCAATGAAACATAAAAGAAATAAATCCATATTCTATGTTAAACACCCAATAATCTAAAAAAAAAAATTATAGTGTATCACAATATACTTCTAACTGTAATATTATTTCCATAATAAATTACTCCACTTCAATTTGTATTTAATTAATGAAATACATTCCGTACATAAAAATCACATCTAGAATCAGCATTCAAAATCATACTTTCTATATACATTTCCCATTATAATTTACACCAGGATCAACATCAACTTATATTTATCTAACTGGGAGATAGGTTTCTTTTTACTCCCATGCTAAAAGCCCTTGTATGCTTGGGATCACATATTACTTGCATGCCATAATCCTTGGAAATGTCTTTAATGAAAAACATGTAATTTACCAGGTACTAAAACACACATTCCTGTATCATATTGTTGGAACTGATATAAACATTTATATACATCTTAATGTATCAAGATCCTGGATAATCATTATATAAATACCCTTTTTAACAAGCAATTTTTTCCTATCTTATATTTCACTTCAAATTCAACATATAATCTTCAAATAGTACTGAGGAATTAGGAAATTGCATATCAAGTCCATAATCATTTAGATCTCAAGAGGCGGCCTTAATCCATGCAAATGTGAAGGATAAAACAATATTTAATTCCTTAGTAGGCATGTTTCTCAACAGATATTTTAGATATATGAATAACTAGATATGCAGTGATTTTAGTGTATTCACTTTGTTTATACACAAATGGCTCCACAAGAACTTAGTCAGCAAAGAGTCTACCAATATTCCTGTCTGATCTCACCTGTTTAACCTTTACTTTGATTTTTGACAGACTTAAATTCAGACATTTTATAGGCCCATAAAAAAAGAGGTAGTCCTGTTGTACCATCCACATCATAGGTATGATAGTTAGGAATTACGTTAAACCTTTCACAATCTTAAGGTGTATATATACTCATATGACTCTATAATCATACCTCTGTTATATTCATTATTACTAGTACTCATGTAAATTTTATTGACAAGTAAAAACTGGGGGGACTATGAGAGCCTTTTAAACCTGTTCTATTCTCCATAAAACTCATGAGTAATATCAAAAGCTGACCTGGTCTTGACACTGATAATTTATTTTTGAAAACAAAAAGGAAGCACAAAGACTAAACAGTAAGATAATATATCAATAGACTGATGTGATCAAAGTACTATAAATTGAATAACTACTCCATAACATTTGACTAAGATCATTATAACAAAGTAAAGCAGTGGTGACATTGCTGAAAATACATATTTTAAAATCTTTTACTGGTAGTAGCATTGTTAATCATGATATTCATGATAACAGAAAAAATATTAATAGCATTAGAATAAAAGAAATCCTAAAAATTCAAGTGAGGCCAGGTGGGTCAACTGACTGACTCCTTGGTGACTAAGTGCTTGTGAACCCATCTATGCATAAATGAAATTCACAAAACCAGTGCCAATGGTTTAAACTGATTTCATTGGAGCCATGCAACTTTTTGCTGTAATACTAAACACTGACCAAAGAGACACCTTTAAGCCAGAAAAGAAATTTATCACATATTTCAAGTTAAATATGATGGGCACCTTGACACAGGAGTGAATTATATACCTTTTTATATACTATTTAATCAGCAGCTTACTCAGCATCTTGATAATCAGTTCCATGTGTCTTGGGCTCTGATATACACCCACCATTAATCTAAGAGGCATTGTCATAAAAAGAGAGGAAAATATGTGATCAGCTATGCTTTTCATTTGAACTCACCCTGCCATATTTTCCTTTTAAATCACATATCTAAGAAATGGCTAGTCACCAACCTCCCTCTTAAACAAATATGACTTTTTCATTCAAAATTGACCACTTCAAAAAACTGTTGGGTAAAGGAAAATCCAGGTATAACAGACCACCTACTTTGGCTAATTACCCAAAATATCACATATGTAAGAGTGAGAAAAAAAAAGGATTCCTGTTACTATTCCTCATATCAATCCTCTGGTATTTTAATCCTCAATAATTACTATAGACAAAGCCTGTGTCAAATGTTATGTAATTTGGAGTATAAATCTATATCTAGTAAGCTTCCCTTATATAAACAGGAAAAATGAGAAAAGAACAAAGAGAAATATATATTTCCAAGTCTTAACCCATTGCTGCTGGGTAAATATAGTGTCAATTGTAGTCTTCTTTTGAGGATTTTATTTGCACATAAATGGCTCCAAAAGACCTCAGCCACCAAAGAGCCAATTAGTATGCATATGTGACCTCACCTGATTTCCTCTTTCCTCAACTTTTCTAATCCTATTAATGCTAAGGTTATTATATTACTCACATTATAATGTTATTATCAATGTTATTAGTAATATAAAATATGTATTTCCAAAAGTAAACAAAAAATGGTAATCTAGCGAGATAAATAGCATTAGTAACTGAATCCTTTGTGATTAAGCACTTGTGGAGCCTTCTATATGTAAAGACAATCAATAACACTGTGCACTTGGCATGTATCTTTGCCATCCTAGCATCAATGGGTTAATGGCAAGCTGGTTTCATTTACATTTTGATTCTGATCCATTTAACCATAGTCTCATAGTTTTATAACTGAGAACAGATTTCAACTAAGCACAATTTTCTGACTTGGAATGGGGTTAAAGTTTGAAAGACTGGCAATTTGAACATTGCTAATCTCTCTATCTATGAAAACAGGTGATTTAACACTTTGGATTTTGATTTTGATTTTCCTTATACTAAAGTTTATTTCATAAAACACAAGACTAAAACACTGAAGGCTTTCATGAATATTTATTTTCATATTTTCAAGAATATGCAGACATCACTGCTATTTCCAAAGTCTGGCATAAGGACTGTCTTGGTAACAGTATTGTACCTCTTATTAATATATGACTTAGCACAAAAAATCATAATTATAACAAAGACTAAAAATTAAATGAAATAAACTCAATGGATTATTGGAGTCTTCAAGTTCCTTTTTACAATGTATATATAATAGTTTACAAAATCATAAGTAACCTTTAAAACACAAGAAAACAAAAGAAAAATCTATGATCTGCAGAGAAAAATAACATTCACATTTCAAGTGGACTAAGTCACATCATCATGAATATATTCCACATCTCAAAACAAAAATATATCCTTTACAAGTGGTTAGATATGTTCCAGGTATACTTACCAAGCCCACTAAAACATAAACCTATTCACATTTAGCATTTCTCTAATACAGCATACTATCATGCGTTTCCATTCTAAGCATACACTTATTTGCAATTGTTTATATAAAAAGGGGGCTACAGATCTGTCTTTACCATTTTTTTAATTTACTGAAAACAGCACTGTCTGTCATGAAGCAATCACTCTTTGAGCATCTGGCAACCAATGCTACTAATCAAGGTGCATAAGCAGAGCAGTTCAAATCTGAAGTCATGTTTACAAAACTTGGACCTTCTATAC